AGAAAAGCTATTTAATAATGTAGAAAATGATATTTGGATGACAGAGCTGTTTGAAAATGATATATTTTCATATCCAAATGAAATTGTTGAGTCATCCAGATATTTTACACATAGAAAAGCTGAAAATTTGGATGGCAGAGAGAAAACACATAATATGAAAGAGGGAAGGTTTTTAATAATTTAGAAAATGGTAATGGATGACAGAGAGAAAAGAACAAAAAGATAAGAAAAAAGTTTATAGAAATTTATAGAGAGAAGTTACATGGAAAATTTATACATTTAGCAGTGACTTCCAATGTGTAAAGCTTGTTTGTTCTGGTATGAAAGCGGCATGGTGCTGGGAATGCTACGGCTGCAAAGTGACCTCATTCAGGGACCCGTTCTACTTCTTGGACAGAAGTTTTGTCTAGAGCCCCAATTCTTTAACACAACAGACGTTAGTAAAATGGTTTGAAAAAGGAATTTTTTGATAAAGTATAAGTAAAAGCTATTTAGTTGGTAGAGAGAAAAGAGCACAAATATTAAAAAGTAGAATGATATTTTAGAAATATATAACAATGGGGTTTTTAAAGATGTCAGGCATGTTTCCCGCGAGCTTTCTGTTCCAGGATGGGGGTATAATGGTGCTGAAGGTGCTTATTTTTCAGACCGGTCATTAACAACGCAATGTGCATCACAATCTTAAAGGATTGGTTCTGACAAGTTTACGTACAGAACGAAACGGATTCATTTCATCAATTTCTGCCAACAAGATCTACATTAATTATATGCCAAATGTTCACATTTCACATGGTTAAATAAACATGAGCCTGTTATTAGCACTTTGCGTGTACATCATGGTTATATTTGCTGTGAGATCAAAATACATAAAACTGTAGAAAAAGCACGTGTCAAACCAGTGAGTATGCCCCCAAAACTAACAATGCGATAAATACTAGCTATTGTCGTTCGTTTAGTTTCAAGGTGAACAAATTAACAAGGAATGTGATGTTTTGTTAGAATAATTGAAATAACAAACACATTTGATAATGACAGATTATAAAAGAGATAACAAACGTTGCCCCGTATAATTTTCAATTTATTGCTACAAAGGAAAGAGTCACTCGTACATGTGTGTAATACTAGGATACCATACAATTAAGAAAAGATAAATGACATGAGATGCTCTGATATACACAAATGTGTGCAGTACGTGCAACACCAATTATATTAACACCAGCAAGACACAAAACAAATTGTCAATCATAAATATGTAGCAATCAATTAACAAGCGCAGTTTATTGATTCGTGTTGTCTCTCTGTCATCCAAATATCATTTTCTAAATTGTTTTGAACACTTATCTCTTTAATATAAATTATTTTTTACTCTAGCACTAAGTGTCCCATAAATATCACGAACTTTTCAGGACAACCCTTTCTGTATGTCAGTAGAAAGCATTTATACAGCTGAAACGACAATGGGAATGAAAATGAAATAATGATTTTGCATTGAAAATCCCTATAACTTCATGTAAGAGAAAAAACAATAGATAAACAATCGTGCCTACAGGTGAGACAACAAATAGCATGCTCTTAGGCCTACTTGCCTTGCATTAATTTATAAGCGCTGACAAAACATGGAAATTATGATGAAAATATTTGATGTGCAAATGTTACAATATGCAACGCAAAAATTCTATAAAAAAAAAAAGGAAAACGTGTCTGTAGGATAAAAAACCCATATACATTTTTTGCAATCGTGTTCACACTTTAAACTGACATAACCGCACCAAATGACAAAATATCCATATATCTGAACATTATAAACACTGCTATAACAGAAAATTACCCATCGCAATTACTAAATGCCACCATCGTAGAATGAAAAAGCCCTGCAAACAACAACACAATAACCTTTGTCAAACATATTGTATGGAAACACGTAAATTATTATATTTGTAGCTTGGTTTCTCTGAACTGAATTGCACCCAGTTAATTTTCATCCCTATAATTATTTTATTGAAATGCCTCATATTTATGTATAGATATGTACATTTTGGTCACTACATGCTATATGAAGTTAATATTTAAGTCTTTTTTTTACTCGCACGAATTCTTGTATTTTTTTAATTTAAAATATATAATTATACACATATGTCCTTTTTAAGAGAACTGTATAACCATTATAATACACAACTGGTACACAGCCTACAGAAATAATTTGAAAAAACTGAACACTAAATATTTTCAATCATTTGACGGTACTCCTCGTCTTGCCAGCGCCTCCACCCACCTAACCAAGTGTCCATACGGTCGTACAACGCTCTCCACAGTCGATTGAATTCGTTCACCAATTCTATGTTTGAAAAATCGTAAATACTTGGATCTAGGCTTCCCAACTCTTCCAGACAGCTTTCCTGATGGACCCTTTCTTTTTTTAGTCGATATTCAAGCTGATGACGCTCCCTCTCACTTGCCTCTAATTTCTGTGCTATTGCCTCAGGGTTCTTTCCAAAAGCGTGAGTGTGCCAGCGCAGCGTTTCCATAGACTTAGAGCGTTTGAATAAAGACCTTTTTGGAGATTGAATTGGACGGCTAGCAATAAAGGAAAACTGCCCCTTCTCAAGGTATTTCGACTCAGTTTTTAGTTCGTGAATTTCGCCATATATTGGCATCAGATGGGTTTCATCTCCTTCTAGGCGATTTTCAAAATTGCCACGCTTTCTTCCGCGTGCCTCTGTAAGGTCCGTATCTACAATATCCTTTCTTTCCACAGACTTGAACCGTGCGGATGTAGTATTTTGAGGTGCGCTTTGTATCATGTCAGTGTAACAAGTTTGATTTAAGTGAGCACGCATGAAATTATCACTATTATTTGTCTCCGGTTCTCGGTCCATATCTTCACGTTTATCCAGTAAATCCTGTGGGCACGTATGTTGTTTNCCATAAATATCACGAACTTTTCAGGACAACCCTTTTTGTATGTCAGTAGAAAGCATTTATACAGCTGAAACGACAATGGGAATGAAAATGAAATAATGATTTTGCATTGAAAATCCCTATAACTTCATGTAAGAGAAAAAACAATAGATAAACAATCGTGCCTACAGGTGAGACAACAAATAGCATGCTCTTAGGCCTACTTGCCTTGCATTAATTTATAAGCGCTGACAAAACATGGAAATTATGATGAAAATATTTGATGTGCAAATGTTACAATATGCAACGCAAAAATTCTATAAAAAAAAAAGGAAAACGTGTCTGTAGGATAAAAAACCCATATACATTTTTTGCAATCGTGTTCACACTTTAAACTGACATAACCGCACCAAATGACAAGATATCCATATATCTGAACATTATAAACACTGCTATAACAGAAAATTACCCATCGCAATTACTAAATGCCACCATCGTAGAATGAAAAAGCCCTGCAAACAACAACACAATAACCTTTGTCAAACATATTGTATGGAAACACGTAAATTATTATATTTGTAGCTTGGTTTCTCTGAACTGAATTGCACCCAGTTAATTTTCATCCCTATAATTATTTTATTGAAATGCCTCATATTTATGTATAGATATGTACATTTTGGTCACTACATGCTATATGAAGTTAATATTTAAGTCTTTTTTTTACTCGCACGAATTCTTGTATTTTTTTAATTTAAAATATATAATTATACACATATGTCCTTTTTAAGAGAACTGTATAACCATTATAATACACAACTGGTACACAGCCTACAGAAATAATTTGAAAAAACTGAACACTAAATATTTTCAATCATTTGACGGTACTCCTCGTCTTGCCAGCGCCTCCACCCACCTAACCAAGTGTCCATACGGTCGTACAACGCTCTCCACAGTCGATTGAATTCGTTCACCAATTCTATGTTTGAAAAATCGTAAATACTTGGATCTAGGCTTCCCAACTCTTCCAGACAGCTTTCCTGATGGACCCTTTCTTTTTTTAGTCGATATTCAAGCTGATGACGCTCCCTCTCACTTGCCTCTAATTTCTGTGCTATTGCCTCAGGGTTCTTTCCAAAAGCGTGAGTGTGCCAGCGCAGCGTTTCCATAGACTTAGAGCGTTTGAATAAAGACCTTTTTGGAGATTGAATTGGATGGCTAGCAATAAAGGAAAACTGCCCCTTCTCAAGGTATTTCGACTCAGTTTTTAGTTCGTGAATTTCGCCATATATTGGCATCAGATGGGTTTCATCTCCTTCTAGGCGATTTTCAAAATTGCCACGCTTTCTTCCGCGTGCCTCTGTAAGGTCCGTATCTACAATATCCTTTCTTTCCACAGACTTGAACCGTGCGGATGTAGTATTTTGAGGTGCGCTATGTATCATGTCGGTGTAACAAGTTTGATTTAAGTGAGCACGCATGAAATTATCACTATTATTTGTCTCCGGTTCTCGGTCCATATCTTCACGTTTATCCAGTAAATCCTGTGGGCACGTATGTTGTTTCTTAAGCATAGTTCGGGAAATTGTTTATATCACCTTTGTATTATGATGAACAATATCCACGATAACTCTTCGATGTATGTGAGAATATGATAACAGAACACCTGTCGTCCTTGGTTAACTTCACTGAACTACAAGCAGTTGCCGTAGATGTTTTTTTCACTGTGGTTGGCAGTCATAAACTTAACGTTGCGAAGAGAAATAATGACTATACATTAACGTGTTGAAAGATAATCTCGTCTCATCGTCCATTCACAGTTCTTTCCAATACGTACCCTTCAATAGAGTTACTTCAGATTTTCAAACTCACGGTTAATGAAACTGTTCAACAAATTTGTTTAAAAAGAAGTCAGTGCTGTCTGTCGTCTGTGCAAGTTACTTTAGATAATTTGGCAAGCGCACACTCAAATTATTACCAGTATATCGATCACAGCTTAAAAATTGATGGCTCAGGAATACTCTATATACTCAGCTTAATAAACATTCGTCAGAAAACTACGAGTGCCTAATGGAATTTTGAATTATTTAGCTGTCTTTATTCACCTTGGTAATATTGACCTGCTATTGGAATTGTTAAAAAATAGTCCCTTACAAGGCATCCAGAAATTTATTATAGATACATGAAAATCAGCGGGTAAGGCGTCGAGTTTATGATTTGAAAGGTCCCGAAAATGGCCTCGTTGCATAGGTATTATACTATTATACCTAAGCATCAAGCAGTGTGTGATACCGATATAGTCAATGATGACAAGGAAAGACCTCATGCAGATTGGAGAAACCTATATGAAGGAGATATAGTATCTGGCGATTACGATAGGTTGAAAAAAGCTCCGAGAAATCCAGATCAAAACGTATATGGACTGAATGAGATGCAGATTGAGCACGGTTATGAACTGGAATATTTGGAGGAATACCTTGAGAAGTTGAATTCTAAAATGGTTGGTTTCGGCCAGGAAGAAACTGAGAAATTCAAAGGTCATATTCGTAGAACAATCGATTCTTTAAAGAATGTTCATTTTTCACTGTATCCTTTTAAATTACTACAAATGATAATCTGCTAATTAATTTAACGTTAATGTCGAGCAAAAATGATTCCTATGAAAGACCAATTAATTTAAAGGTTACAGCATAATTCTTAAATACATGTATGAATATTATCTGTTGAATTTACAATTTGTTTATCGAGCAGTCTTGCCACACACTTATAGAATTATGATAGGTATGAGAGTCAGCATGGACGATTTAGCAAAATTTGTTTAATTTCGTTTATAATTGCGTTTTATGATAAAAATGTATTATGTTTAGCCTTTATCACAGTGTAAAGCGATTATAGACAAATTATTTATTCATTTATTTGGACGAAGGGTACAGATCTAGGTCTTTCTTAATACCAAGAAATTCAATAAACACTTTGATACTGTCCTTTTTTTATAATAAGGAATTACAGACTAAATTAAGTGAGCATCAGTGCATTTTCCCCTTTTTTGTGTGTGTGGTATATTTGACACTTCATATAAGCTACCGGTTCTAATATTATTTGAGTGTTAATATCTATGTAGACTTTGTACACAGTCCATCAAGTATCAGTTTATTGTAACTTTATTTTTCCTCCCTATCAGATGTAAACATCGTATACTTACTATACTTCTCCTGTCACCAACATATCACTGTTGAGAATTCACAGAAACGGCAAAAATAATTTTAACTCATGATTGGTGTTAAAAGTATTTTTTTTTTCATTTGGGTTCTGTTGGAAAGTTTCCCTCTGAAATTTTTGCAGTTTGGTTGATTAGTTTAGATTCGCACAAGTATATTTATTTTGACTGAGTATTTCTTGTTATGCTCTAATTAAATCTGGATAAGCCTTGATTTTAAAGGGAAAATGTTCATGTATGAGACACAAATGAGAACTTGTCAGTGTATAGTAAAACACAGTCTACCAGACCACTGTAATGTTAATGGAAAATATAATCTGCAGAATGGCACACTTTTAGGGTTGATAACTCTTGCTGAATAATTCAACTGCAAGCATGACATTTTGTTTATATCTTATGAAAATACAATAATAATAATAATAATAATAATAATAATAATAATCTTTATAAGCTCTAGCACTTTTTATGGCCAAACAGTTACGTAAGGGGAGTAACTAAATAACTAAATATTTACTGTGTGAAATATGTCATCCCTTAACAGCCTTACAGACTGCGGACACAGCAAGAAAACTTCTACATGGTTCTTGGTGAGGAGGCGACCGACGAGGGCTCGACCAAAAGGTTCATAACTTTTTTGAAAAGTGCTGTTACGAAAAATCCACCACCCGATGGAGACGAGGCTTCATCTTCTGTGTCACCTTCAAACACGCATGCAAAGCTAGCCATCTTCTCTTCGAATACATTTCAAAAGTCTCTTCAAGACCACATTTTATCTATTCGAGGCCATCTTATTCCATGTCTCCAGGCCCTGGTCAGGGATGAAATATCTTACACTGTTAATAGCCGTACGGTTGATCTAGAGAAAGGTGAGATGAAGCAGGCTGAAAAAAAGTTCTCACACACCAGGAAGTTTAAATGGGCCCTTGATAAGAAGGAATGTAAACCGGAGGATAATGAACTGCGCAAAGTTCACTTGGACGGGAATTCATCGGATCACATTCTTCTGTTCAGAGAACAGAGGTACTCAAAACGTGTGCTAGACATCCCAAAGATTTATGTCCTGATAGGTGTCTATTGCCATTCTGATCTCGTAAATGTAGATAAACACAGTAAAGGTTCTACAACCCCGGTTAATACAACGGGTAAGACTCCTAAAGAGCTTGTTGAAGAAGAAATGAGGGCGATAATGTCCACCTTTAACATTGACGAAAAAACGGGCCAAATGAGAAACTGATTGGAAGAATACGCATAACCTGAAAGCAGACTGGGCGTAAATAAAAAAAATTAAACTTTTTTTCAGAAATACATATTAAGTAGAAAATAAGTCGAACGCACACATATAGTCTACACCTGCGCCTCCACTGATGTTAGATGCTCTTAACACGTGGGCGGAAACAGTATTTCGGAAATCACTTTGGTTTCTCACTTTTTTCTAAATCAATGAACAGAGGACAAACACTTTGTCTTTGACTCGAGCTCTTAGTTATCTGCATTAATAATATGAACAATATAACATTTATGGAGATGTTCAGAGTGTGGCTAGATACATATACAGACTTGACNACCAGATGTAAACATCGTATACTTACTATACTTCTCCTGTCACCAACATATCACTGTTGAGAATTCACAGAAACGGCAAAAATAATTTTAACTCATGATTGGTGTTAAAAGTATTTTTTTCCATTTGGGTTCTGTTGGAAAGTTTCCCTCTGAAATTTTTGCAGTTTGGTTGATTAGTTTAGATTCGCACAAGTATATTTATTTTGACTGAGTATTTCTTGTTATGCTCTAATTAAATCTGGATAAGCCTTGATTTTAAAGGGAAAATGTTCATGTATGAGACACAAATGAGAACTTGTCAGTGTATAGTAAAACACAGTCTACCAGACCACTGTAATGTTAATGGAAATTATAATCTGCAGAATGGCACACTTTTAGGGTTGATAACTCTTGCTGAATAATTCAACTGCAAGCATGACATTTTGTTTATATCTTATAAAAATACAATAATAATAATAATAATAATAATAATCTTTATAAGCTCTAGCACTTTTTATGGCCAAACAGTTACGTAAGGGGAGTAACTAAATAACTAAATATTTACTGTGTGAAATATGTCATCCCTTAACAGCCTTACAGACTGCGGACACAGCAAGAAAACTTCTACATGGTTCTTGGTGAGGAGGCGACCGACGAGGGCTCGACCAAAAGGTTCATAACTTTTTTGAAAAGTGCTGTTACGAAAAATCCACCACCCGATGGAGACGAGGCTTCATCTTCTGCGCCACCTTCAAGCACGCATGCAAAGCTAGCCATCTTCTCTTCGAATACATTTCAGAAGTCTCTTCAAGACCACATTTTATCTATTCGAGGCCATCTTATTCCATGTTTACAGGCCCTGGTCAAGGATGACATATCTTACACTGTTAATAGTCGTACGTTTCCTCTAGAGAAAAGTGAGATGAAGCAGGCTGAAAAAAAGTTCTCACACACCAGGAAGTTTAAATGGGTCCTTGATAAGAAGGAATGTAAGCCGGAGGATAATGAACTGCGCAAAGTTCACTTGGACGGGAATTCATCGGATCACATTCTTCTGTTCAGAGAACAGAGGTACTCAAAACGTGTGCTAGACATCCCAAAGATATATGTCCTGATAGGTGTCTATGACCATTCTGATCTCGACATCAAAGATAAACACAGTAAAGATTCTAAAACCCCGGTCAATACAACGGGTAAGACTCCTAAAGAGCTTGTCGAAGAAGAAATGAGGGCGATAAAGTCCACCTTTAACATTGACGAAAAAACGGGCCAAATGAAAAACTGATTGGAAGAATACGCATAACCTGAAAGCAGACTCGGGCGTAAATAAAAAATTTAAATTTTTTTTCAGAAATACAAATTCAGTAGAAAATAAGTCGAACGCACACATATAGTCTACGCCTGCTCCTCCACTGATGTTAGATGCTCTTAACACGTGGACAGTAACAGTATTTCGGAAATCACTTTGGTTTCTCACTATTTTTTAAATCAATGAACAGAGGACAAACACTTTGTCTTTGACTCGAGCTCTTAGTTATCTGCATTAATAATATGAACTATATAACATTTATGGAGATGTTCAGAGTGTGGCTAGATACATATAGTAACCTGCATGTACTGTATCTAACCACTGTTTTATAATTTCATCTTAATTCAATGTACTTACATATAGGTACAGTGTCTATACGGAAATACATTGGAAAAAGGATGAAATTATAAAACTGTTCAATTTCTACACTATAACTCAACACTTACCTGTAATAGTTTTCGTCCCAGCAGTTGTGAATTCATCTGACACTGTTATGAGACAATCCATAGTGAAATGGAACGTTTTAAAATGTCGTCATTATGAGTGACATTGCTGAACAAATCAGTTTTCATGATCAGAATATTTAATAAAGTGATGAAATTCATACCACGATGTTTGTCGTTGAATAATAATCTATAACATGTAAAGAATGTGATTGACGAACGCAAAACACAGCAGTATTCTTTGGTTCACATTTTTATCTTTTAACGTTTAGATCTAACTCTTAATATCGTATCCAGGAACTCACATGGATGCTATAGTCTAGTCAAGAGGGGATTTCCTAAAAAATATTGTGATAAGGAATCTTTGAGTGCATTGGTCATCACAATATGACAAGGACGCGATGATTTTGTCATTTTTAGGCTGCACTCTAAACCGCGACCTTTACCCGCGCACGCGCATGCTGAGAGGAGAACAAAAATCATTTAATACAGTGTAAGTGCAACACCGCCCACCCCCCCACCCCACCGCATTTTTAAAGATTCCTGTATGTCACCCCTTACAGTATACCCTGTATTACTGATATACAGACTAGACTTTGATAGCGTACTGGTAATAACAACATCACTTGATTGCCACTGTGGATAAGTGTTATTTTTCAGTGAATCGTAGCCTACCGGTACTGTAGACTACTTATTAATTTCATATTAGAAATTACTGCACTTACTGCGATCTTATTTGGTCATTTAATGTTAATCTCTTCAACGATTAAAGGAACTGTGAATGCCCTGCTGCAAGAATTACATCAGGAGTTAAGTTCCTAAGGAGACCTTAGCATTTAGAAATAAATAGCCAACAGCTGGCATTCTAGAAAGCTTAACTTTTTTAAAAAAAATGAGAAAAATTACACAGGTACCGGTTGTTATANTTCTATGAAAGGGTAATTTTGCTTTTCGTCCATAATAGAGTCCTGCAACTTTTATATGAGAAATCTAGAACACGCACCGGTACAATGTATATATTTTCCGTGTTTGAGCCCAACGACTAGCTGGAAGTGCAGTTGGTAGAAACAACTTCGAACGTAACATCCCCCACGATAAATCTGATTATTTGCATTGTTAGGTTTGGCAAATGAGACAATTGCCGCAACGCTGTATAAATTAATGTAAAATTAATAATGTAAAATTAAACCCTGGGTCGAATTTCTGTTAATAGCACGGTTGCAAAATGAACATTTCTACGAAAACTCATCACATAAACAACTGCATGTCCATTTTTCTATTATAACAACCCGGTGTCTTGATCATAATTATATTAGCCCCCCCCCCCCTCAATTTTGCATTCGTCTATGCATATTTCTGTGTACATATATTTATTTAGTACATAAGTACTAGTGATCAAAACGAAGCGAAATTGTATTTCGAGTTGGAGACCTTGGATTCCAGAATAAACATCTTGAGCATCATGAAAACGCATTTTTCTCTGCGGAATGCGTAGGTGCTTTTAGCTTGTTTTGCACAGATGTGCGACACGATCTCGATGGTTATCCCAATTATTTGTACCGCGATATCAATATCTCGTTCCTTATTTTACCTCTTGTTTATTGTAGCTAGAAGGTATTGTAAGGTAATTATACCGCGCCGCAAAATCTAATAAACACCCCCTCCCCCCTCAGCTTGAATCATATAATTGACGACGGAGCTTTCAGCTATTAGATAACGGCTATATTTTAAGCCTGTGTACAACGCAGTGAAACCTGCTTTTTATCTAATGAAACCCTGCAATGCACGCACATGCTTGCGATGTTTTTGACCTCTTATTTGCTCCCACTTCACATGTCATGTACGTCTATCAGCAAATGGCAGTGGCCAAATAGTTAGGCCAGCATTTTGACATTTTATGCATATGCCATTGGTAACACAAACCATATTGAGCCCATACCATGCTAAGCATTTCAAAAAGGGGCCACGTACCATAGAAAATATACTGTATAAACCACAATGAACAGTAACTACCTGTGTTTGTGTATATAGTGTCTTTGCAATAGGGGAAGAATGTCATAGCAAATGTACACCATAAGAGAGACCGGCATATACATGTACCATGCTGAACAATTGCAAGTAAAACAGCAAACGTGTCACGTTGCATCTGAAGTTTTACCTCTCTATCATAACGTTATTTACCTGTTTTTTTTTTAACCCAGATACAACGGCATGTTCCCAAAACATTAGTTTAACCTTCTGTCATCATCACTGATATAGTTTTAATTCGGACGTACTTAGTACAAGTATCATTTTGGAATATTTTAGACGCTCTTGGAACGTTTGCAGCTAACAGTAGACAATGTCATTCACGCACCTTGTACACGGCAATCAAATGACATGAAAACACTGTCAAGGTCAATGTCAAGGTCAAGGTCACTCAGCTTGCCTCCCGTCCTATGATCTAGGGGTGCATTCAGAACACGTTTAATACGTTTAATTGCTAGGCCCCTGGGGTAAACAGGGAGTCCATTATGGGAATAAGCAGCATCGATTTCAAGTGGGGTCGGCTATATTTGATCGGCGGACTGAATGGTACTTAACAGATCAACGGATCTATATAGCCGAGCCACTTGAAAGCTCACCGCGTAATGGGGCTATACGCGGAGCCGTTTGTCCTAAAGAGGGCGCTGGGGTAATAGTGGTTGTTGAAGATAGCCTCGTTTTCGCGTCCGTGTAGAAATGACTTTAGAGTATGGGAAGCAAACGGTGGCGAAGTTAAAACTTCAANTGTGTTTTTTTTTTTTTTTTTTTTTTTTTTTTTTTTTTTTTTTTTTTTTTTTTTAACCCAGATACATGTAACAACGGCATGTTCCCAAAACATTAGTTTAACCTTCTGTCATCATCACTGATATAGTTTTAATTTGGACTTACTTATATATAGTACAAGTATCATTTTGGAATATTTTAGACGCTCTTGGAACGTTTGCAGCTAACAGTAGACAATGTCATTCAAGCACCTTGTACTCAAATGACTTGAAAACACTGTCAAGGTCAATGTATTTGTATCACTCAGCTTGCCTCCCGTCGTATGATCTAGGGGTGCTTTCAGAACAAGTTTAATCCGTCATTGCTAGGCCCCTGGGGTAAACAGGGAGTCCATTATGGGAATAAGCAGCATCGATTTCAAGTGGGGTCGGCCATATTTGATCGGCGGACTGAATGCGACTTAACAGATCAGCGGATCTATATGGCCGAGCCACTTGAAAGCTCACCGCGCAATTCCCTATAGGACACTCAATAAACTACCCGCAGGAATCACGCGATGAGCTTTCAAGTGGCTGGGCTATATTTGATCCTCGGACCTGTTAGTCATTGGATAAACTTTTTGTTTGGAAATGCAGCCTACCATTTTATTTTGCAGTCCCCTTAAGAAAATCTTAGGGGGCATACATTGCTCAGTGTGTATTCCAAATGGTGCGTAAACTGCCTCCATCGCATGAGACCCCATTCAGATTTTAGATCGATCTATCCCTGTGGGGAGTCTCACTAGATTACTGTCAGCTTAGCCGGCTTAAGCGTCTGTCCCGCCTACTAAAAGCTGTAATTGGGTAGTTAACTACCGTGCGCGCTCGGCTGACAGCAATTTAGCGTGAACCCCCAGGGATTTAGGTCGATCTAGTTGGATCGATCTAAATCTATGGGAATGCAGTCTAAGACGAAAAGAAAATGTGAGCTTTAAGTTTGGGCTTTGTATGTCGTACTCTACACGCATCACAGTGTGGTTCACTTTAGGTGAAAATATATGCCTGAGAAATTATTAAAACCCTCATTCGGGCTCGGTGTAAACGTTTTCACATCCATGAGGAGGACAATGTCACAATGCTGCCCGGACGGTACAGTACATGGTACATGCATATACATGTACTAAGCGTATTATATACTACCAATGCAGCACGTAGTTTTCTATGGGAGAGGGTTAAAATAAAATAGTTGACTTCAAAACGTACATAGGAAATAGAAATGATGAAAATTGTTAAACTTTTTTTTTGTCTGTTTTAAACTGTTTGTTGGGGGAAGGGCACCTTAGAAATTGAGAGGTTGGGGTGTAACAGGAATGGAGGTCCGCTAGGAACCGTAGTCCGCTTCCTATTTCTTTGTACAGGTGATATCCGTTCTATATAGTAACCCCATTACTGCAACTAATCCTAACCTGTACTTATATCATATGGTACCCCTGACTTCCATTCCTAGGACTTGCATTCCTGTCACAACGGTCATCCTGGGTCTGTCTTGGTGTTCACCACATAAGGTGCACCCTGCATACCACAGAGAGAATTGCATTTAGGTGAAGGAGGAATAATTCTTCACGTGCAGCACGCCCTTATTTGTTAACGAGCGGAGCTCACAATTGTGCGTGGGGCTTCCTGCCCCCGCAAAGCCACAGTTATAAAACGATTGACGTGTGTGTATATATATATATATATATATATATATATATATATATATATATATATATATATATATATATTAGGGAATGAAAGAACAAGGCCTGGTAAATGCTGGACGCTGTACATCAATGTCAAGGTACAGTAAAATTGTTGCACCCGGCACACATAAAGAGGAAGGATGACAAAGCCATTTATATGCTCAGCGGTTTCCATTCAGTGGAGAGAATGAGAGAATAGTTCTCAGTGGCTCTTTCCAACTTCTTGGTCATTGTGGATATCTAAGTCAGTCCACTGTGACATTGCATGAGCGTGATGTTTCACCCCCAGACAGTCTATACCAAACTGAGCCCTAATCATTAGCGTATTTTACAACACATCCCTAACGGGTGGCGTCGTTTATGACTTCATGGTATCATTAACCAAATATCAATAATTTTGGCAGTAACATAAAAGAAGCTTTTGGGTAAATTAATTAATATTATAATACACATTGCAGGGGAGCTTCAAAACTATCCTATACTGATCAAGGTACTTTTAGAACATAAACTGGCTTAGTTAAGGGATAATTACATGAATATTGTTCTTTTCAAATTATTATTTGCTTTTATCTCCCCATAGTCCTGAAGATCTACCTAAACAGAACTACAGGTAGCACTTTGCATCCTATCAGGCACTCCTAACTGTAAAAGACAGAAACAATGGTGATTTTTTAAATAAAAATAAAATGGAGAAATAAATACATAAATGTAAAAGGATTAAACAATAAAATTAGTTAACTCATTCTCGCGTAGATCAATCGACTATCACCCGTGTTTTTTATCAAAATATTCGCTGCAAGAGAAAGAAGAGAGAGAGAGAGAAAGCATCCGTCATCTCAATTACGATGACGTACAAGTCAGAAGGTGTCGAACGCAAAAAAGGTCTTTGAGCAAGCAGTGGTGATCGCGATTGATTCACAGCATCGGCTAGCTACACTAACTGTACCAGTAATCCTTGAACGTACCATTTCATTGCACGACACTCGCGCTCCAAAATCGATAAAATAACTGCGGATATTAAATATCAGGACCCTAGGTAATAAGTGAAGACGAACTAACGGAAGGACGTTTGTCTAATATATATTTTCTGAAGATGACGTGAAAGCACACATTCCAAACAACATTTACCAACTCTAAAGAAATATGCAATTTAACAAAGGAAAGAATGAAATTACAGACAAGCAAAACCTCAGAGCTGATACACTGTAGAAAGAGACAAATAATTGGCTAAGGAAAGTAGCAACCGAGAGAGGTATTGCCATCATTGAGATAATTGATCAGTGGTTGGCTTCTGCAAAATGACAGAAATATTTTCTTAAACGTGTTGGGTAGTTGCTTCTTAATGCAATAGTAACTGGAATTTCTGTGTGTGCTGAAACAGCTTTGTATCACAGACCGATGCTATTTTTCTGCCGCATCTCCTAGGGATTCATGGATGTGAAGGAATCGTACGATGTGGGAATGGCATAATCGTCGTTTTTTTAACATGGTGAATGGACAGAGTCTACTTATACCAACGGAAAATGGCCAATTAACTGTCATTTGCAGTACTTTGCACGTCTCAGATATGAGAAGACGTTTAATGAGGCCATGTCAAAAAATAAGCTGCTTTATTAGGAGGAATCAGTATTATTGAAATAGTCTAAACTTGTTTTATTTTGTCTGAAAGTTGCATAAAATTGTGAAATATACGTATTCCACTTGGGGCTAAGAAAAATATTTCTAAGAGCAGTGACATTTAAAAGACACTCAACCTCACAGTGTGTCAACTTAGGAGATCAATAAGAGCGCTGTGGATAGACGTGGTACCTTGAACTTGTGAGGACGACCTGGGATCGAACTTTAAAAAATTATAATGGTAAAACTTGCTTCATGTGGGCTTACTTCTATCAGTCAGTAATCTGCGCCAATCGAATGACGTACGTGTGGTAACAGAACTCCTGAAACAACTGATGACCCCAAACGATCTACTTACAAAAAGATCTTATCTGCCCATGACCAGTGTTTATGCCTTAAAGCTTGTTAGATAGGATTATGTCATTTCGTGGTTGTGACTGAAGGGACGCCGCAACTTCATTACGTGCGGTGACCCTACATCAACCGTCATTAAATTGCAGTCAATACTTCATTGGGTGGCCTATATATACCTTTACCTCGCATCCAGAGTTTGATGAACGCATTGTTTACCGTGATTTCTCTCATGTTTTACTCTATTTTATATTGGGTGTTTTTTTCATAAACAGTGTGTACATGACGTTTAACACCGGCAGATATATATTTTTTGAGTACTTTTTCGTTGGATTTTCTGCGAAACCTACGCATTACTAAGCAGCATTACAAGGCAGATTTTCCTCAATTGATGACCTTTGTTGAAAATGGCGGGAAACAGTTCGTATGACGGTGCTGCAGCGGGTCTGGTTCCGGATGACGTCACAGCGGGTCTGGTCCACCCCCACTGGCTGAAATATCCCCCAGTGTCGGCAGAATTCACCCTGGCGGCAGGCACCGTCCTGAGCATGTCAATCGTGCTCTCTGTGCTGGGGAACGGAGCTATAATACTGATCTTCTTAAGGTGAGATACAGTGTGTATAAGGAGAGAGAAAGAGAGCAGAAGCGGATTCAGGCCGTCTTTTGGGTTTTCTGGAAGACCGTCAGATTTTTTAAATTGTCATTGATGGGTATCTATTTTTTCTGTCGGAAGACGGTCAAAAAAAGAGGATGAATCAACAAAGGTAATTTAGAAGACTGTCAGAGAATATCTCTGGATCCGCCCCTGGAGAGAGAGTAAAGATCTTCATGAAGCCATGCAGGGGCCAGGGCAGGTTCGAAGGCAGAGGTGTTGGGAGGGTGGGGGGAGGGGTGAAGGTGTCATCCTTTTGGTTACACGAAAAAGGTCTACTCTAAATCAAAAGTTGATCTGGGTTCTTTGCCATTTCCCAAATTGGGTGAACTGAGGGTGGAAAGGTTCACTTTTTCAGGAAAGATCCCTTTTAAAATTGCTTGGCCACAGCCTTGGGTCTGATTCACAAAATATCTCAAGCCAGGAGTTTGGTCTAAAATGTTAGTCATTTTTTATCCAAGATTAATTTAATGATAATCATGTCTAATGAAAGATACCTAATGATTAAGACGAATGCTCGTTTTCTAAGTCGACTATTTAGGATTTGTACTGAGCCGTTAAGCAACTCTGGTCTTGTCCTCTGGTCTAGTCCTTTTTTACGTTAATGTACAAGGCACTGGAATGGGTTGAAAAGGCACATGTTTTCTCCAGATTGCGTAGCTAGTGATTTAGTAATCTATGGCATTCTCCCTGATTTTGGATCTATATTGAATTGCGTTTACTCAATTAAAAAGTTAAACGTCCCTTATTTGCTTCAATTAGAAACATCGACCGTAAGCTCACTTTTGATTAACACACACTGAACATTCAATGAGGTTTAGCGGGATACGTGGACATTAAACTAAAAGATAAACCATTTAAAACTCCGAGAGATTATGATGTCGCAAGGTGTACAGATAAATCAATAAAACAAAAAGTAAGGACGGGTTATTTTATTTTCAGGTCTCCCGTGCTTAAGACTCCAGCAAACGCTCTCCTTGTCAACCTGTCCCTCTGTAACATCATCTCCTCAGTGGCTGTGTCTATGGACGAGGCGACTGGTCTGGCCGGACGCTGGCAGTTTGGGATACCAGGTAGGGGCGCAAACGTGTAGGGGCAAATATTAAAACGCAATATGCACTGGTTCTATTATCAATATGCATTTTCATTCTTAGCTAGCTAAGTACATGTATACGTTTTTATTTATTTATTTCATTGTAAAACCTACACTGTTATTGTACCAAACCAAAGTTGTTCTCACTATGGTTCACCATAATGTATTTTCCAGTTTAAGCTGGGATTTATTATATTTTTCTCTAAAATACAATGTTGAATAAAATATGTCTACCGGTACCAGTATGATAGTCAGAGTTAAGGCCGGGTCACACTGCGCTTGCGACCTTTTTGCAACCTTTTTGCAACCACAAAATCTGGCGGTCGCTTGCGATCACTTTGCAAGCTAATTAAGAAGCTATGGCCAATTTTGATCGGCAAGCAGTCGCAAACCGGTTGCAACAAGATTGCAGTATGGGGTCTGCAACCTCTTATAGACCATCTTCAAGTTATAGGTTGCCAGCCGCACACTGTTTGCCGAGCGATACACAACCTGCCTGCAACCACTTGGTGACCGAAAACCGGTTGCAGGACTGTAGCAATCGCTTGTCAACTAGTAGCAGCAAGGTCGCACAGAACATATATGTTGCCAACTTGTAGCTGCTTTCCCATAAAATCCCCTCTCAAAAGACAAAAATGTTCTAGTAAAATGACTCCTTTTCAAAAAGACGGGACTGCTATAACCATTGACTTTGTTTACCTAATAAGTAAAACGAGTAAAAAAACTCGAAAACCCGTGGATTGCAAGACGCCCCTTGTAAGGCGATTACAAACATTATATGAAAAAACTTCGTCTTGAAAATCGGGAAGTTTTCATTTCCTTCCTAAAAATAGAACCAACAATGTTTTGTGAACTTTTGAAAAGACTACATCCTCACCTAACGAAACCTGTGCTGTAATAAAAACATAAACTTGCATACGTTTTAATCCTTATTAATCTCATAATACTCTTTAATATTTTCTTGGTCAAATACTATTTCTCTTTGAGGTCGCAAGGCCTGTTCAGTTACGGTCACACTGAACAAAAAACCTCTTTGCGACTTGCAACTGTCACCGGTTGCAAAAAGGTCGGTGACCGGTTGCAACAACTCGCAAAATGAACGCTGGGTTAATATCCGGTTGCGCCGGTTTTCGGTGCAGCACCGATAACCTCCTGGCGACCGAAAAACCTACTTGTGGTATCCAGCCGGTTGCTAACAGGTCGCCGACTGCTTTGCAACTGATTTGCAACCGAATGTGTGGTTTTCCCTTTGTCTTTTTAACCCTAGGCGTTTGCCACTTACAATACAACGTAATTAAATCGTGTCAAGTCATGCTTTTTACACTCTCATCCTTGTAGTGAGGATACCAAGCACTGGAAAGATGTAAAATTGTTTGTGTTGAAACTATTTTTATTTAAGTCTATTGGACACATTTAACGATTTGTTCGATTATTTGTGGATAATTTTGATTGTTGAAATTATGATATTAAATAGCAGTTATACCTTGCTGATTAAATTGCTTTTATTTTCCGTTTCTCTGCATTCGTGTATTTGTTTCATTGTGTACTCTGATAACATGGCTTTGCAAATTTTAAATAACATACAGCGATATATAATTGAGGTTTTCGGCATTTTACCTATGATTTTCGCAAAATGATAAAATAAATAAACGTAGCGTTTTTTTTTTTTTTTTTGGTTTCGTAAGTGTGAAATACCTGGTATATGAAAGCCTTGGCAATTGGTATAAAATATTGTCAACAAATGCAATTTATGTTTTCTTTTTCTAAAATATTATAATTTATGACCTTGATAATTAGAAGGCTTACATAACAAATTATGAAAAATGTCTTTGCCTTAATAGACCGCCATCCTACGCCTATTTTATTGCAGTCGCTTGCAACCTTCCTGCGACATATTTTCGAACACCTGCGATCGGTAAAAAACCTGTTAGCGACCAAGATACTAAAGACCGTCAATCGACCATGCAGTTACAACTGCAACCTTCTAGCGACCTGCTGCCGACTACTTGCGACTGGTAAAAAACTTGAAAGCGACCAGTCGACTAAATACGGTCAATCGACCGTGCAGTTGCAAATGGTATGCTATTGGTTATAGCAACCTACTGACAACCAAGAAGAGACCGATAGGCAACCTTTAGGATACCGATAATTTTTATCTTTAGTCGCACTGGTTGTCGGTGCACAAAAAATGGCCTTCATGTGTCAACGATCGCAGGCGACCTGTTAGCAACCTTATGCGACCACTTTAAAACCTATGGCAACCTCCTTGCGACTGAGGTTGCAAAGAGGTTGCCAAAAGGTTGCAAGCGCAGTGTGACCCAGGCTTTAGATAAGAGCTTTTGTGTTACAAAAATATGGAAGCATTTAGGCGTGGCGGCTTCTGGGGGTACACTACCTTGAACTGAAGTTTTTATTCTTGACTTTGCACTTGAACATTCTGGATGAGATATACCATTTGGTTAGATACCCATGTTCTCTTTCAGGGTGCTTTGCCTACGCATGCGTAGTAGGTGCGGCCTCGTTGTCGTCCATCAACACTATGGCTGCCGTAGCTTTGGAACGGTACCGAGTCATTGTTCGCTCTTCACAAATGAAAAGAAAGGGAAAAGGATGGGTGCACATGGTTGTGCTGTTATCGTTAGTATGGGTTAATTCTATAGTCTGGGTAATAGCACCGATATTCGGATGGGGGAATTACGTCCTTGAGGGTCACGGCCTCTCGTGCACTTTTGATTATTTGACCAGAACCAATGAAAATCGTTCTTTCGTCATGTGCCTGTTTTGTTTTGGGTTTTTACTCCCCCTTATAGTCATCCTGGTCACAAACGCCAGTATATTGTGCTTTGTTCGCCGCTCCCGCCTCAATCTCGGCTCGTTAGGGAGAGCCAGCAGGAAGAGACGCATTGCCAAGAGCAAGCTAGGGGCCGAGCTGCGCATTGTCAAGATGATCATGGTGGAAGTGGCGGTCTACTGTGCCGCGTGGGTCCCTTACGCTACTGTCAGTCTTCTCGGAGTATTCGGAAATGAAAGTCTCCTGACTCCGTTGACCGTCGGCATACCGTCCATCGCGGCCAAGGCATCACCTCTCTTTACCCCGTTCGTCTACACCAAATACCACGGGGCTTTCCAGAAGGAACTGAGGCGGAAATACGTGAAGAAGCGGTCCCGGAGGAAACTACACAGCTGTAGGTTCAGCTTCTGAATATCTGGCCATTTGCAGGGAAACATAACAAATGAACAGTAACAATGGTAGATTTTTTGGGGTAGGAGGGGGGGGGGCTGTGTGCCTCGTACCCCTTGGCCCCCTAGCTTTGGGGTTTACAATACCTCCTCTCCCATAAATTGTGCACGATGCGATACAAAAGAAGCAATATTTCCCCACTCTTTGCAAGTGATATTATACATGTACTAAGGCCCGATTTCCATACACATCGTCAGTCTACGTGGATCGAGCAAACTCTGTTGGGGGGGGAGGGATAGACTGCAATCAGTTTAACTGTCTCAAAAAGTGCCTACATGGCAACACGGGGACTGCATAATATTCATGTTTTTCTCCGCCCTTATTACTGCTTTTATTCTTGTTATTAGTTTTAGAATAAAATTTGGTGCATTGTCCGAACTTAACGTCTTCACTATTTTAATGACTGTTCAGGGAATGACTAAATATTTATTTATATATCAATCTGATTAAGAATGCCACATTTCCTTGTTGTAAAGAGGATGGTGGCTTAATTGTCTCAAGATGGTGGCTTATATCTCAAATAGAATTTTAGCTATTTAAATCAAACATCAAAGTGTTATCGCTTAAATTAGAAATATGCATCTGAACTAAGTTAAGAGTCACTCTGAAGTTTTTGATAAGTTATATAGTTATGTATTACACCACATCGCATCCTGTTATACTATTTACCATTGTGATATAGGTCGGAAAATTAGATAAAATGAAACCTTGAACGTGGAATGGGTATCTTTGTCAATACCTGTATCTTTGAGGAGAGAGAGAGAGAGAGAGAGAGAGAGAGAGGTATAAATACTCGTGGTGCTCGTAAATTCATCGAGTAGTAAAATCAGCAGTCCACCAAGTGCTAATATCAGTATGCCACTTGTCTTCTATACAGTGACAGATAACCTACGCATCCGTATTCGCGATAAGCCTACCGGAATAATAGACGTGTAAATTAATTCATTTGCCTGATTCATTTGGTTTCTACAAATAACTTTTTGCGCCTCACGATTCATCCTCCAATTTCCCTTCGCTTGCAGTGCCGTCTAAGAGACAGAATTTTGAACATGAGCTATCGATGATCCTTACCTAACAAATTGAAAAGGACAAGAAAAATAGGACTACTGGATTACACTTAACTCGGCTCTAAGCTAGACATTTCTAAAGCTGCTGGTGTAAGGAACACGCTTTACCTAAAAAGACCTTCAGTGGCATAAAATATTTCTTCTAGGCGCAGTCGGCAAAGGCAGCCTTCAAACAACCAAGGCAGTGCTATGAAACTCCGTGATATCCTATCCCTACGTACATGTACATATGCTCATAGTCAGGGTGTCTTATTAATAACAGGGACTGATCAATCATATCGGCGGGCGGGGGGGGGGGGGGGTTTTTTCGCAGGATTTTTTACAGGGGGAATTTTAAAAAAAAAACGAATGT